GTGTACCTGAACCTGACGAGAGAGAAAATGGATTGTGTTCTAAAGAGTTTCTTTTTTGCATTCCTTCTGTTTCGACTTTATGAATGCACAGCTGCTTCTACTATTGCATTACCTAATTGCAAAGACCGGTGCTATCGTTCTGGTTTTCGTGTTCCTTACCCATTTGGGATAGGCCAAGGTTGTTACAAGAACAAATGGTTCGAGATTGTCTGCAACCACTCATCATACCCCTCTTTTCCTTTCCCGCCAAGCATCGGACGGGAGGTTAATTCGTTTTCCCTTGGAGATGACTGGTTCGATGAGCTTCGTCATCACAAGACCAACAGGTTTCAAATTACCAGTCCACTGAAACATTCAGGCTGTTCCAAAGGCATAACCAATATACCACCTTTGAATCTCACAGGCAGTCCATTCTTCATATCAGACGATAATAAGTTCACAGTTGTTGGGTGTAACGTCAAAGCAATGATGAAAGGCACAGGGTCACAAATCATTGGATGTGAAGCAAGATGTGGGAATGATACACGGAATTACAAAGATGCTGACAAGAGTTGTGTGAGTTATAAATGCTGCCAGACCAAAATACCGCCTGGTCTTCAAGTGTTTGATTCAACTGTGGAGAAACTGGAACCCGGTAAAAACGGATGTCAGAAGGCCTACTTGTCACGATCCGACTTCTGACCATGGATCTGGAATGGCGTCTTGAAGATCCCCCCATGGTTTCAGAGCGCTTGCAATGCGAGATAAATACAAGCGTAATACGCACAGATGATCAATATAAATATCAGTGCTGTAAAGATGGTTATAAAGGAAATCCCTATTTACCTGGTGGATGTCAAAGGTGTGTATAAACTTTCTTCTCAGTTTGGATAAAAATGTGTACAGCCTTCATCCAATTCTGCAGATACTTATGACAAGTTAATTTTGTATTGTTTTGTCAATAGACATTGATGAATGCGGAACTCTATATAAAGTGTGCGGAAAACACAAGTGTGTGAATGTACCTGGATCATTCAGATGTGAGAAAACATGGCCAGCCATTTTAGGCAAGTTAATATGATGTTTTCTGCATAGTCCCATTGTTTTTTCTAGATTCAAAACTGAATCACTTACAATGCTCTAAGAGTGTTGCTTTTGGCTGTTGTAACGTGGTGGTATTGCAAGGTTAATAGAAAGCAGAAAGCAGCCAAACAGAGGAGGAAGTTCTTCAAACGAAATGGAGGGTTGTTGTTAGAGCAACAAACATCCATCCTTCAAGCCGGTGTCAACAGAATAAAACTGTTTAGCTCCAGTGACCTGGAGAAGGCAACTGACAAATTCAACCCTGACAGAATACTTGGACAAGGAGGGCAAGGTACAGTTTATAAGGGAATGTTGGAAGATGGAATGATCATTGCAGTCAAAAAGTCAAAAGCATTGGAAGAAGAGAATCTTGAAGAGTTCATCAATGAGATAATCCTTCTGTCGCAGATCAATCACCGAAATGTTGTCAAGATCTTAGGATGCTGTCTTGAGACAGAGGTACCTTTATTGGTGTATGAGTTCATTCCCAACGGAAGCCTTTTCGATCATCTTCAAAACCCGTCAGAGGATTTCCCAATGACTTGGGAAGTCCGTCTCTGCATCGCCTGCGAAGCCGCTGATGCCATCTCCTACCTGCATTCAGCTGCCTCTATCCCAATTTACCACAGAGATGTCAAGTCAACAAATATCTTATTGGATGAAAAGCACAGTGCAAAAGTATCAGATTTTGGGATTTCTAGATCTGTTCCTATAGAGGATACTCACTTGTCGACAATAGTGCAAGGAACAGTTGGATACGTAGACCCAGAGTATCTCCAGTCAAGCCACTTCACAGGGAAGAGCGATGTCTACAGCTTTGGGTTGTTGCTCATTATACTCTTAACTGGAGAGAAACCTGTCTCCCTCCTGAGGCGGCAAGAAGTCAGGCTGCTGGGTGCTTACTTCCTCGAAGCCATGAGAAATGACAAACTTCATGAGATTCTCGATGCTCACATCAAGGAGGAATGTGATCAAGGGGAAGTCCCTGCAGTAGCCAACTTAGCAAGAAGGTGTTTGAGCTTGAACTCAGAACACCGCCCTACCATGAGAGACGTTTTTATTGAATTGGATAGGATGCAATCCAAGAAAAAAGACACTCAAAGCCAAACACATAATGGTGAAGAGCATGCACACATCCAGATTGCAATACCAGAGTCTATGTCACCCAGTTATTCTTCTCCAGACATAGTCATTGAAAACAGCTCATTCTCACTGGACTCGAAACCACTCACGCCTCACAAGACACAGTGAATATACTCCACAACTTCATCTAATAGTTCCTCTATCTGCAATTTATAAGACTTTATGTAGCAAAATCAAGGAAATAAACGAGACTACGAAAGAAGCAAAATCATTTGTATTACCCTTAATTTATCTTTCACATGTTTGGTCTATACACATGTACACCACTGTGTATATAAGTTCACCAAATGAACACATAACAAAACATAAGTTCAGTAACACTCAAATACACGGGCCTGTCAAATACAGTGAGAAAACATGAATCTTATTATGTATCTTATTATGTACACAAGTCCAAGTTAATACCAAATTTGAGTGACGCAGTATTCACTGGTTACCTTCTTGCAATAATCATCTCATAGCACGACATACTGAACTCACTTCACATAAACTGTGGAAGCCTTTTACTAGAAGATAAATGGATTATAGGTTGACTTCTCCGGTAACATGGTTCCTTATAAACAACCATTTCAACGCACTTGGGCCAAGTGTCTAGTTGTTTCTGCTGCGAGTATTACATCAGAAGCTTCCACTTCGACAAAGATATCAAGGTCTTTCTCAAACAAGGAACACCCTCGGACATTCCATGAATATTAGTCAGCTACAGCACAAGGAAGAATTATTCAATGAGTGTTAATACCTTTGCTGGAAAAATACGCAACCATAATAGACAACAAACCAACAAGTAGCTAAGTATATATGGTTATAATTATAAGTTTCCATGCTACCATTAAATGCTAATTTTAACTCTTCTTATTTTTATTCGTAGGCGATGCAAGACTTCTGCAGGAAAAATGATCAAGTGCTTGCCATGTCTCTTTTAATAAGTTTTTTTTTCTCAACATGCAACAATTGAAGAATTGACTGTAGCAGTTTATGCATCTAGAAAGATTCTATCACCTTCGATTAGGCAGAGAAAATTCTTCCAAGGATACACAGCCAATGATGGACCCACCGGCTGGATCGCACATTGGTTTAGTCTCTCTCCAATTCAGAGGCCTATCCAAAGGGTTACATACCCTCACAACCGGCAATCTCACAATGTCAAATCTCCCTGCCCCTGATTCTTCCCATTTAAGGACCTTGCCTCCTATAACATAGAGCTCATCCCTTAGAGCTGCAAACCCATATCCAAAGGCCTCTAACTCTCTCGGATGATTAGGAAGAACAACAGAGGGAACTGACCCAACATTGTACCATTCTCCTTCATCTGTATCCCTAGTCTTAATCAAGCTTTCTCCCCAGTCTACAATCGTGTACACTCGATCATTTCTCATCACCTGAACAGCAAACTGCATGGCTCTAGAGAAAGGCCAGACATCCTCCACAGTGGACCAAGTCATGTCTAATGGATTAAAAACTTCTGAAGAATTTCGCTCTGCAAATCCAACTTGGTCACTCAGAACATGAAAGCAGCCTTTGTATGATAACCCTGAGCAGTCCATCTGTGGTCTAGGCATAGCTGGCAATTCCTCCCATCTGCAATACTACTATGTCAGTCTCCACTTTGATAGCTTCTCAAGTTCAACATAAGAAAACTTTAAAAAATATAAATCTTTCTCATCATAGAAAAAAGGTCAAAAGAGTATATTGTGGGGGTCCATTAAGCCAATCAGATCACTTCACCATATATTATACAAGAAAATGAGCCACATTAGTTTAGAAAAATACCTATCAGCCACAGGATCATAAACCTCAGCAGATGGAATTCCTCTGGAATGGGTCAAATTGCGACCTCCAGCAACATAAACTTTTCCAGAGACAGCAGTACAAGCAAAGTGAGTCCGTGGTATTCGCATACTTGCAACCATTTTCCATTCTTTCTTAAACGGATCAAACCGCATTACATCTTTAGTAACAACAGGCTTCTGATGAGGAAAAGAGGACACCGAAGGCGCATAGCAACCCCCGATCACAAGAAGACAATTCGAAACACAAACACACGCAAAACCAGAATGATGCCAACCATCTTGAACAGCTCTAGTTCTAGGCAACGGATGCCACCGATCAGCTTCAGGGTCGTAAGCAACCCATTGGTTCTTAGAACGTTCTGTGAGCACAAACAACCAGCTCCCTGACCATCCATTTCTAGCTTTATAGCACGAATAATCAACGCTACGAACTAAATCTCTCCAGCCTCTAGAGACACACTCGATCACTCCATGATATCCATGAGAAAGCTTCGCTATGCATCTCAAAGCCAAATCATCAGGTAAACCCGGGATAATAGACTGTTCTATGGAATCCCTGAAAACATAACGGTTTGCATACATTAGTTTTGCAAAAAACGCAAATCTTACTAAAGGACCCGTCTCAGACAGTAACGATCACATATCCTCAATCGATAATCTCAGATTCGATAAATGTCATAGAAAAATCAATGATTTTGAAATTTGAACCAAGGGGATAATGGTAAAGCATCTAGATTCAACATTGTGTAAGAGGAATTAGAGAGGTAACTTACATGAATCGAAGTAGAGAGACTGTGAACAAATTTATATTCTGCGATCCCCTTCTCGAACTACGCTCTACAACACCGAAATTACCCTTCAAAATCAACCACTTTCACG